GAAAACAAAGCCTAGATATTGTACATTTGCGTCTCCATATCAGTGAAAAATTTCAAGAGAGGTACGACGTTAAACAACATACAATCAATCAATCAATCTGAAACATAATCCTCCATCTCGTTCTTATTCTTAAAAAGGTCTCACCTTAAGGACCCGCAACTTTCACTTCAAAGGAACAGAGCACATGGAGAAGGAACAGTTGCTACCTACTTTTTATCGACTGAAAAAAATGAAATTTTACCATAGTCAATATCATAAAGTTGTACAATTTCAACTCTCTTCACAACCAGCCTCCACGATGAAAATAAAAAAAAACAGTGCCATCAAAGATTGTTTAAAATCAAGTGAAACACGATATATCCAAATAAGCTTAAAATAAAACAAAGGTCTTGGAATAAGTAAAAGAAGTCTAGAGAACAACAGTCCACATATTCACAGAATTGTCCTAAGGTTTTTAAGAAATGTAGACTTAGTTAAACAATACATTGCTTTGTTAGGTTGTTAGTTTGGAAATTAATGCTACATTTGTTGCAGGAAAATGCATAACCGTGTAAGCCAAATAACTGCAACAATATATACCATACCAACAAAGACAAAAATATTGTTTATTTTTATATATTTGTAAAAATATTCAAAGTAGGATTCAGCAGAAAAATTGCATTGCTATGTACATGTATGTCATTGTACGTTTCATTAATGGAAGAGCCACTGCTCAAGAAATCTGTACAGGTGATATGATTGTGTTGTTTACTGCTTGATAAACCACAATGGTTTTCAAAGGAGGAAATATTCAGTGAATGTAACCATTTTGTTTGAATTTACGATATGAAATTTAAGGGCTAAGTATCGGCTATGAATTTCGTATTGCGACATATTAATACTGCAATAGTTTAAGCTGAATTGCAATATGTATTGCAATATTTTCAATATCAGTTAAAATGAGCATTTCTTATTTTGTTAAACTTTTTCAAGGTGAATGTAATGTAAATATAATAATATGCAAAGTACGTTGTGATAAAAATCGTTAACTATTTCATTACATGTTTTATTAAGAAATGCAACTGTTTACAACAATTACTGTTTGGTACGATTGGAAACATTCCTGAAGTCTTAAATTTCATATTTATTTGGAGAAATCTCAGGTTCAAGAATTATGGTATATATAAACATCTTTTGCACAAAAAAAACAATATTATCTTAAACATTATTCTTAAAATTCTTTCAATAATTGTATTTTGCTTGACATATTTTTGGAAGGTGAATTAATATATAGTCCAGAACGGAAGTTACTGTAGGGAAATTGTCAATTTGATGCAGTCATTTTGTACTTTTTATTATCACACATGAGTTGTTTATGATTTAGATACCTCAAATTGTTATTGTTACAAGAGAAATACTGCACAAAATAAGTACCCATCGTCTTGCCACTTTAGGTCAGAACAATATTTTTATCGATTCGATGAGGGGAATGCCACTTGTAACTGTCAGTAGCCGTAAAATCTGGTGATGACGTCATTATTTTTGACAAATGTGGACCAACAATTTCAGTGCCATTTGATGGGTAGGAACCTTTGTTTATGAAGATCACGCAAAAAATACCTCAATGGTCAACTAACTAAAGAACCAGGATATTTATTTTTAGGACAAAAGTATAATGTAAACATTTTGTCACTCGGTGAACCATTCATTAGCTACCAGAGCCGAAGGCTCAACTGTTTTCAAGATTTTTACGTGTCCGTCTGTCTGTCTGTCCGTCTGTAAACTTTTCACATATTTTGCACTTCGATTAATGAATCCACACAGTTTTGACAAAACTAAGTTACAAAGATAAGGTAAAGGGAAATATAAATTTTTAAAATAAAGGGCCAAGTCCCCTGCACAAAGGGGAATTTAATCAATTTTGTTTTAAATATAATTCTTAAAAATCTTCTTTCAATAATTTTTTCAGAAAAGCTGTAACTTATTTTTTTGCATCCTAGGATAGTCATAGATTCTATATTGTTCAAAAAATGACCCCGAGGTAAACGCCACTTGTAACTGTGCAGTACCGTAAAGTCCTTATTAATAGATGTAATTTTTCATAGAGATATATAGGAAAAATCTTTGAAAATCTTCTTTGAAGACCACTGTGCTACTTAAACATTGTTTACTCACAAAAAAATTCAAATTTTTAAGTGTTTGGATTTTTTAAAAACGTTTAGAAACTGTTTTAGAAATAAAATTTGAATTTTAAGATTTTTGAAAATTTTTTAATACGAAGCGAAGATGGTACAAAAAGATATTGTGGAACTGTAATTGCTATTACATGTAGATTGATATCTCTAAAATACATTTAAAGTGGGATAAATGGATCACACTGACCAGAAATTTTTTACTTAATATATAGGAAAAACAAAATCTTTTTAGCATGACCACATGTACAATATAACCCATCGTTATATACTTTAGGTCAGAATTAGTTTTATCCGTTGTGACTGTCTTCTTGAGGGGAATGCGACTTGTAACTGAAATGCAAGTTTAAAAGGGCATAGCCGTAAATTTGGCGATGACGTAAATTGTTTTTGACAAATTTGGACCAACAATTTCAGTACTGAAAGGAACCTTTAAACCCATGAAGATCACGCTATACCTCAATGGTCAACTAACTAAAGGAACGAGGATATTTTCATTTGGTGTATATACAAAATATAATGTAAAAAATTGTAATTTCAATGCATTCTCAGGTGATTTTCAATGTAAGACCCGTTTGTCAGATGTCTTTTTGAAACTTTTTGAATTTTCTGATTTCTTCAGAATATCATTTTTAATATGAAGCGTTAAGGTTGATGGTTTAAAGGGAGTCAATCGTGTTGCATCCCTGCTGACTGTAATTGCTATTACTTGTAGATTGATTTGCCTCTAAAATCTATTATTTAAAGCTGTTCTTGGGCCTAAATTGGATCACCAATGACCAGAAATTTTCTGCAAAAGTTAATGCTTGACGTCTAGGATAAAAAAGGGGGTACAGCAAACATCTTGTATACAACGAACTTGAAAACACGTATTACGATAATTATATATCATTATATAATTATATATATACATATCATTAATTAGTTTTACCGGTTAATCATATGCAAATTATATATATGTCTTCTTGATTATTAACAGGTTCATCTACCTCATGGGTCTGTTGTCACTATTGAGAATGGCAAAGGCAATCGTCCGAATTTCCTTAACATCTGGATTAGAACAACACCAGTTGACTGGCGAAATACAAGAGGCAAGCATTTGAATAATACAAAATTATTCAGCAAATATGTTTAAAGAGAACAATTTTTTTTCATGAATTGTAAGAAATGAAAATACGTGTTTACGATCTAGAAATATGCTTTTTTCCAGATTGAATAGACAGAAAGAAAACATTTAAAATATCAATCTTCACAATCAGTGTATTTTTCCTGTTAAATTTCATTGGAAATCTTAGAGAAACACACATTATTTTTTTTTTAAACATAAGAATACATAATTTAATAGGAAGTTAAAACATATTCAATGATATAAAGTCAAGTCATTGTGTATTGCTTTAGTACATTGAATAGAAACCATTTAAAAATAAATTAAAAAAAAGGACAGATAATATAAACAAAATTTTGTCAAAAAATTTGGAAAAAACAACTTGGGTCATGTTTTAATGATTAAAATAAATGGTTCACCGAGTAGTTTTAAATTTTTTATTCAAAGTTGCATGCATAAGATGGAATTTGAAGTGAAAGATGTTTGTATAGAATAATAAGAATGGTTTCAGAACGTTAGATTTTGAACATCACAGAAGGTTTACAATTTCTTTATATTCTAAAAATCTATAATTATTTTCATCATTTGCAATGAAAATAGGTCAAAAATATATACCAACCCAGGCATCCATATTGTTTGTAACATCTGTCCTTAAAATTATAATACTTTTTCTTCCTATCAATATTCATTTGCGTCATATGACCTCTTTTGTTTATTGCCTTACCCAGTTCTGAGAGGCGTTAAAATTATTATAAAGACAAATGAAAATTAACATATTTTTATGTCGTTAGTCGAAATAATGTACCTGGCCATGACTAAAGTGCGATATTTAATCTGTCGGAAAGTTCTGTATTGGTGCATGTCTGCGACCGACGACATCCAAAAGTAATAAATCAAGATATTATTTTTTAAAGTGTTTCATTATTATGAGTCTTTTAGAAATTTATATCTAATTTAATGATATTGGAACTGCAAACGGATTATTTCATGTAAAACTTGAACAGACAGAAATACATTAGGAATTTTTTAAACTATATAGTGACGTTGTGCTATTGGGAATCTTTAAATATCATAGGACTGTGTGGTCTATGGAACAATATAAATTATGATGACGGAATATTGAGAGACGGGTCGTGGTATGCCTTTGCTGAAAACAATCCGGAGAGATCCTTTCGCAGCTGGAGGTATGGAAAAAATAAGATTCCGATCTTTTGAAGATTCATCTTTAAATGCATGAATAGGGGCATTTAATGCCATAAATAACAAAAGTAAAATGAGTATGCAGTGATAAAGATGAGACTTGTTTATTGATACAGAATCAATGAGACAATAGAACAGTCCCTGTACAAAGGGTTCTGTCCTGAAGACTTTGAGGCGGATCCAGCCTACACTTATTGTGTTTGTAACGTGCATGGGGCGGATCACTGCGCAGTAGAGGCTCGAGTACAGGACTGCTTCCCCGCATTGGAAACTAAGAATGGAACAGAAAGAGGCAAATCCACGATATCATTGTTACTGAAAAGAGCAGAAAAATTAATTGAAATGTACTGAAGGAAAAATAGAATATATTGTTGTGAACATTATTTATAGTATACATTTCCGATAAAAATACATGAACAATAAAAATATGTGTATATGTAAAACAAACGTGCGTATGAAAAAAATACAAAAAACCTTCTTTTTTTCTATCATGAAGTTTCTAGTTTTCACACTTACTGATCAATACTATTACTTTTTTCCTCCTAGGGAAAGATATTACTGCTGAACTATTGGAGAATAACTCGGAAGAGACCACTAAGTGCTTCCTGCAAGAGTCGGCGTCAAGTTCTACTTTTGAGTACAACCCTTCCCATACTGCACCAGTTTGTATATTTTTCCTGAGAATTACAAATAAAACTCCCAAACTTTTATGTGACATATATCCTATGGATAGATATTTCAATGATCATGTACACCAGTAGAATGGTGTTGTTGTTTTTTTAATTAAGTTATTTAACAAAGCCTCCGTTATCGTCAAAAGAAAAACTGGGCATTTCGATTTGTAGTCCAATCTGTTTGTCTAATTACGGAAACAAAATATGAAGAAAGTTTATAAAATGGTATATTTCAGATTGGAAGCTGGCCTACACCCAGTAATTTCACTGAAGCGGAGGCAATGCAGTATTGCACACAATTTGTCAGTAACTCTTCCGCTGGAAATATGTGTAAGAGTTACATTTCGTCGACATACGTAAATAATGCCCTACAGGACTGTGTCACCGACATTAAGGTATTGGGATTCTAAAAAGATATTGCAATTTTCATTTTCAATATAAGAATTTAATAAGTATTCATATTTTGGATTAATTTGATATGAATTTTAATATAATTATATATATTAAATAAAGAAATTTTAATTTAGACACTAGTATTAAATTGATTATTTAAAAAATCTCTCAAGATAATCAAAAGATCACGAATGTCATTGTTTTAATATGCTTTGTTTCAACGGAATGTATTTGTAGCTTACTGATGATAAAAGCTGGGCAGAGGAAACCCTTAGAGACATCCTCTATCATTGTAAGAGTGACCTGATCTACAAAAGTACGCAGTGGGAGACGGTAGATGGAGAATGGCGTCCACCGATGGACAAATTTGGAATCATTTGTCCCAATGATTGTAGTGGACATGGGACATGCAGAGAAGGTAGAGTATATCCTCTGTGATAAATTTCATGGAATGTGATTAGTTTCTCTTCTGCATCATACACACTGTATAAAGAATGAACATTCTGGGGTTTTTTTTCACTAATTGATCCTTTTTTGTTTATTGAATCACTAGTTTAGAATCATGTATTTTACAATTGGAAATAGAAACAATATCTTAATATGTTATAATTTTACCTTAATATGAAGTCGAATGTAAATTCAAAAATAACCAGACAGCAATCACAAATAAAACCAGACTGAAACAGTTTTATTTCTAAAGCTATTGTTTTCACGATAATAAATTACAGGGATATGTAACTGTGATGGCGAGGAATACGTGGGTTATGATTGCTCTATTCCTGCCATGAGTCCACCAGAGCTTTATCACATCCAGGGATCTTCTACAATAGATCTTGATGAGGGTCCAGTCAAACAACTGTCAGTGTATGGTGTAGATTTCGTGTGTCATTACAAATTCCTCTGTAAGTTGTGTCCTTTATATAAAAACTACATTTTTTATTTAACTGGTGAGGGATATAAATACAACCTCAAATCCAGGTTTTGCTATTTTTGGGATATAATAATTTACAGATATCTCTCGATCACTCACTCCTTAATGATTTTTACTCTCTTTCTCATCCCTCTCAAATACACTGTACCAGTACATGTTGTCTTCTTTTAATAAGGCTAAGGAAGTGAAAACACCTGGTTATTATCTGACCAAGGAAAATATTTACTGCCCATGGGCTAATATCACAGGGAGCAGTTTTCGTTTGTCTGTTAGTAACAATGGAGTCAACACCAGCAGAAACCAACTAAATCTAGAAGTACTTCACTCGGTTTGTCAACTCTGTTTCTTTATGGGTGCAGAAATGGCTTGCCAGAACCGGGTAATAAGTCACTTTAAATTATTTTATGAATGTTTCTATTTGCATTTTTATAATAGCCAATACAAACCCCTTCAGACTGCTAGATAAATGTAAAATTATGTATCAAAAATATTATTTCCTTTTGTTTGTAATCTTTTAAAAATACATTAGATAGCACATGGAGTTCATTTAAACAGCTACCTTTTTATTAAATAACATCGTAAAAAGTAACCCTATAAATTCGGAATGCCTTTTCAAAAAGGTAAATGTCAAGCATTTAGGATTGGTTGTGCTCCTTAATTTGCTTGCCGAAATAGTTCTGTGCTGGTAAGGGACATTATATTCTTATTCGTTTCACTCAAACAAATATACAACAATTATGAAATAAACACAAACTCTTGAAGTAGGATGTGAAGCGCTCTGAAAGTGCAGTTTAATTAGTTTGCGAATTCAATATACACATCAGTCTATTTTTCTAATCTCCTCATGCATATATCTCTGATTTCTACAAAATAGAAAGTAATAATCATACCACAAAATACAAGAGGCCCAAGGGCCACATCGCTCACCTGAGCGCATCGACTAGGAAAAACATATATCAGATCAAAACTGAAAGTTTACTTGGGGGTGGGGGGCTTGAATTTTAACCCCCATGGGTGTCATGATTTGAACAAAGTAGAATCTACACTACCTGAGAATGATTCCATATAAATAGAAAAATATCACTAATCATGGCTTTGATGTACTTGATAAGAAGATTTTAAACGATTTCCCTATATATCCCGATGTAAGAATTTGGTCAGCCATTTTGGGCCCACCTTAGCCCCAGGGGTCATGGTTTGAACAAAATAGAATCTACACTAGCTGAGGATGATTCCACATAAGTTTCATCTTTCCTGGCCCAATGGTTCTTGAGAAGATGATTTTTAAAGATTTTTCCTATATATTCCGATGTACAACTTTGGTTGGCCATTTTGGCCCCACCCTAGCCCCGGGGGTCATGATTTGAGCAAACTTGAATCTACACTGCCTGAGGATGATTCCACATGAATTCCATCTTTCCTGGCCCAGTGGTTCTTGAGAAGAAGATTTTTAAAGATTTTTAGCTCACCTGAGCTGAAATCTGTCTCAATGGTTCTTGAGAAGAAGATTTTTAAAGATTTTTAGCTCACCTGAGCTGAAAGCTCAAGTGAGCTTTTCTGATCACCCATTGTCCGTCGTCCGTCCGTCCGTCCGTCTGTCTGTCCGTCCGTCCGTCCGTCCGTCCGTCTGTAAACTTTTCACATTTTCAACTTCTTTTCAAGAACAACTGGGCCAATTTTAACCAAACTTGTTACAAAGCATCCTTGGGTGAAGGGGAATTTAATTTGTTAAAAGCAAGGGCCAAGACCCCTTCAAAGGGGAGATAATCAAGAAAATACAAAAATAGGGTGGGGTCATTAAAAAATCTTCTTCTCAAGAACCACTGGGCCAGAAAAGCTGAAACTTATATGAAAGCATCCTGGGGTAGTGTAGATATTAAATTATTAAAATCATGACCCCCGGGGTTAGGGCAGGGCCACAATAGGGAATCCAAGTTTTACATAGAAATATATAGAACAAATCTTTAAAAATCTTCTTCTCAAGAACCACTGGGCCACGAGAGCTCAAACTTATGTGGAAGCATCCTTGGGTAGTGTAGATATTAAATTATTAACATCATGACCCCCAAGAGTAGGGCCACAATAGGGAATCCAAGTTTTACATGGAAATATATATAGAACAAATCTTTTAAAAAAGATCTGTATCACCTAAGTTACTCAGGTGAGCGATGTGGCCCATGGGCCTCTTGTTCCTACATATATCTATGTAAAACTTTGGTCGGCCATATTGGCCCCACCCTAGCCCCGGGGGTCATGATTTGAGCAAACTTGAATCTACACTACCTGAAAATGATTCCACATGAATTTCATCTTTCCTGTCTCAATGGTTCTTGAGAAGAAGATTTTTAAAGATTTTTCCTATATATTCCTATGTAAAACTTTGGTCGGCCATTTTGGCCCCACCCTAGCCCCGGGGGTCATGGTTTGAACAAATTTGAATCTACACTACCTGAGGATAATTCCACATGAATTTCATCTTTCCTGTTTCAATGGTTCATGAGAATATGATTTTTAAAGATTTTTCCTATATATTCCTATGTAAAACTTTGGTCAGCCATTTTGGCCCCACCCTAGCCCCGGGGGTCGTGATTTTGAACAAACTTGAATCTATCTACACTACCTGAGGATGATTCCACATGAATTTCATCTTTCCTGTCTCAATGGTTCTTGAGAAGAAGATTTTTAAAAAAATTTCCTATATATTCCTATGTAAAACTTTGGTCGGCCATTTTGGCCCCACCCTAGCCCCGGGGGTCATGGTTTGAACAAATTTGAATCTACACTACCTGAGGATAATTCCACATGAGTTTCATCTTTCCTGGCCCATTGGTTCTTGAGAATAAGATTTTTTTAAAATGCTATTAATTTTTCAATTATTCATCCCCTTGGAAGAGGGCGTGGCCCTTCATTTGAACAAACTTGAATCCCCTTTACTCAGGGATATTTTGTGC